CATTGATTTAGAAGCTAGCAGGATCTTCACCCCGTCCTAGGTTCAGACCTGTGAGTCCAGTATAGAGAATGACAAATGTTAATTTTTTTCAAGCAAAGACTTTCCAACAGTTAAATCTCAGTTTTTCTGGATCTTCAGAGGCCCTGACTGCAGTAGATTACTTCCTAGCTATGCAGACAGATGAGTGTAACTTGGCCTTCTTATTCTTTGGCATCAGAAAAGTCTGATGTTCATCAAAGTTTCCTCCTTTGTCCTCTTTAAGTCAAGAACAGAGCATAGAGCTGGGCTATCATCACCATCATTATTATAGCACATACCTGCCCAGGGGGTCTCAGCCCTTTCCCATACATTTCTCCCCCACCTTTTTCTTTTCAAGAGACAAGATCTTGCTCTGTTCCCCAGGCTGGAGTGTAGTGGCCTGATCATAGCTCACTGTAAACTCAACTTCCTGGGCTCAAGTGATCTTCCTACCTCAGCCTCCCCAGTAACTGGAACAACACGCACATACCACCACAACCAGCTCTTTGTTTGTTTGTTTGTTTGTTTGTTTTAGAGTCTTGCTATGTTGCCCAGGCTGGTCTCAAACTCTCAATCTCAAGCAGTCCTCCTGCCTTGGCCTCCCAAAGCGCTAGGATTACAGGGGTGAGCCACCGCACTGGGCCCATTGTCTCTTTCAAGAGCTGTAAGTAGGAGAGACTGCTGCTGCGTTTGTTGTTGTTTTTGGACTGGGGAAGGGAGATACCTTCATGACTGTCTTCTTCCAACTAAAAAAGATGACTGATCATTTGAGAGGAAATATTCCTACTCAGGTAAGCTTTTTTCAGCGTGATATATATGTATATATACTATCTTCTTTTAATAAAATTATACCAAGTAAAAGCTTGAGACACCTCTGTTTCTTACAACCTAATTTTCTTTTAAAGAGAAAATGTCCTTCTTCAGTTGTAAATCCAAATTCACAATAGAAATTATGTCCAAAAGCTGCCAATATGTCCTTCAGGGCAAACTTTTTAAAAAAGAGACACAAACTGGTAGCTTCTGGGTTGTCATCAGCCAGCAGGTATGTATTTGGGGTGTCTCACACAGTATTTTGGCAAATCTTGAGTCGATGTATTAAAATCAGGAATGTTCACAGAAAAATCCAGATTTCAGAGAGGAGAAAAGATGGCAGATGAGAAAAGCCGCTAGTCAGAGTGTCTCTGCAAAAAAGACAGATTTTAGAAGAAAGTGAAAAAAATAAACTAGCAGAAAAACATAGATTGGATGAGGGTTGGAAGGAAGGGTGCCTGAAACTACAGGAGACTCCATGGGAAGACGTTGCAGAGGAGAACTGGAAGGAGAAAGGTCCCCGAGAGGCTTGGAGACCAGTGACAAGGGTAGGTGGAGCAGATAACTTTCCCCTCCCTTGCATCTCGGACTGTGGGCGGGCTCCTGAGTGGTTGGAGAGACCTGCAGACACCAGCCCAGAGACGGCTGCTGCCAGGAGCAGTGGCCTCTTGCGGACAGGGCACCAGGCTCTGAGCTCCCTCGGGGCACCTCCCCAGGTGCAGACCGGAGCCTATCGGCAGACGCCATATTGCTCCATTCTCTCCTATCAAACAAATTGATAAACAGCAACACCGTAATAGTTGGAGACCTCAACACCCCACTGACAGCACAGGACAGATCCTCCAAACAGAAAATTAACAAAGAAATAATGGACTTAAACAGAACTCTAGAACAAATGGGCCTGACTGACATTTACAGGACATTTTACCCAAAAACCACTGAATATACTTTCTTCTCATCAGCTCATGGGACATTCTCTAAGATTGACCATATTCTAGGACAAAAAGCATGTCTCAAAAAATTTTAAAAAATAGAAATTATACCATGCATCTTCTCAGATCAAAGTTTAATAAAAACAGAAATCAACCCCAACAGAAACTCTCATCTCTACACAAAGTCATGGAAATTAAACAACCTTCTGCTGAATGATCACTTCATAAACGAGGAAATAAAGATGGAAA